GGGACAAGAGCTAAGGAAGCGTTGTTCTAAGTCAGCCATAAAAATGTTGGCATAGTGTGGGGCCATGCGGGTACCCATAGCAGTGCCGCTGACTTGAAGGTATATATTGTCCCCAAATGTGAAATAGTTGTGGGTGAGGACAAAGTCACAGAGTTCAGCCAACAGGTCACAGCTAACCTGGTGGCTCTAATAAATTTGTTAGTCTCTAAGGTGCCACAAGTACTCCTGTTCTTTTTGCGGATACAGACTAACACGGCTGCTACTCTAAAGACTGTCACAATCTGCCACATCTGGGAACTGAATTAAGGGGTGTCACGGAGAGCATAGGCTCCCGGCTCTTAGTTCTGGTGCTCGTTCCCAGACCAAACCTGAGCAGCTGTGAAACTGCCTGTTCCCAGACCAAAACTGAGCAGCCGTTACATGGGAAAAAACCCTTATGCCCCCATAACCCTGAGCTGGAGCCTACTCAGTCTTTCTGTGAGAATGGCACATGCGGAGTCTGGTCACATATGGACACTGTGAAAGGCTTGAGAATGCTCAGCATAGCCAGAATCTTTAGAGATCTAAGAAATTTCTCCTGAGCATGTGCAAACTGCAATTTTTCATGGGTTTACAATTTAGCCAAATTTGGGCAGATTTTCATGGGGATGGCAAAATGTACTTCCCTGGCACAAAAACCAACTCCCTTCTCCAAAGCATAAAAGAGCTAGAGAAAAGATCACCAGATCAAAGAAAAGACTTTTTTTTAACCTTTGTATTTTTTCTTAGTCTTATTCTTGGAAATGGCTGAAATTTTCTACCCCCTTCCTCCCCCGCCTCCCCTCCCCCAAAAAAAACCCAAATTATATACACACACACACCTCAGGCAGACATCTGGCATGAAAAATTCCAGCCCAAATAGATATATTTTGGCAAGCTGAATATAAGTAACTGAAAATAGAGTCTCATATTGGGAAGTGTTGGGCAATCTTATTAATGGGCCGTGCTACCAGCCCTGTGTACAGTTAAACTACTAAAAATATTTTTTTAAAATTATAATTGATATGTACATGGATTTTAAACTTCTGTTATGTAATTGTTAGATGGCGCTAAAGTCAAAATATCAAATAACATAGATATTAAGGTGTGTCTTTAGATATTTAATAATCACTATGTACACATTAAGTTCTTTTGCATACAAATACCAATTTGAAATTTTACTCCAGTGACACATAGGCACCCAAAAAGTCTCTAATACATCACAGGTAGAATTTTAGACAGTCCATCTTTGTTTTTAAATTATCCATTTGTCCAGTTTTCTCTTTCTCTCCTTTTTATTTTGTCAGTAGTGTTTGAGGTTATTCCATTGTATAATTTACAAACGAACAATATAGTTTTAAAGTTCTTCAGTTTGTTTTGAAATTAATAAGTCCACCACTTATAAGCTAGCAGAGACTTCCATATCCTTACTATAGTATATTCCTTGCAATGAACAACGCTGTGCAAACATTTGTGTATTAAAATTTATTTTTTGCATTTTCTATTTCAAAGGTTATATCGTGAAGGCGAACGACCATACTCCTCATTCTAGTAATATTTTTGTTAACAGTTACTATTTGCAGCCAGGATGTCTGAATTTTGGAACAGAATCAAATTATACATTCTAAATCCGTTTCTCCATTGTAACTGCTCCAGCACTCTTTATGATGCTGTAATTTCATGGTCTATAACGTGGAAGGTATATAATAGAATATGAGTTTTTACTGACAATCTATCAAATCGCAGACAATTGCTACTTCGTGGATACATTGTCTCATTCTATTATTCCTCTTTCATTTGGAAGCCAAATGCTTCTCCTGTTTATCTCGATTGCTGAGTTTGAACAAAACAAGCAATCTTTTATATATTTTCAGTGGAAAGGAATTTTAAATAGAATCCTGGAATACAATTGTCTTTAAATGAGTTGTTTTCTGTTATGTCTTTCTCTCTCTCTCTCATGTACTTTGTGAGAAGATTGTAGCGTTAAGTGCAGGGTGGCTGTGGCCATAGGAAGCTTTGATTTTTCTCTGGCATGGCCTGGAGTTCTTCCTGCATATGATGGTGTGAGATACAGTATGAATCAGGAATAAGCAAATTTGAAACCAACACTGCCGTTTGTGAGGCTGTTTTTTTTTTTTTTTTTTTTTTTTTTTTTTTTTTTTTT